CCCGCCACAAGGCCCAGCCATTTTTGGTTGCAGCCATCATTGTTGTTTGATGGGCCCGGGCTGGGGATTCGAACCGCCACCTTAGGTGTATGTGGTTGGCGCCTTAGCCGCTTGACCCACAGGCGCCGAGCCAGATTGGCCTTTTCATTTTCTCCCCAAGCTTGCTTCTCTACCTCTTCCTTGTTCCCATGAATGCACCACTGAGTCACCAAGCCAGAAACCCAGGAGTCATCCTAATTACCTCCTTGTCCCTCATCCCTGCACATTCGTCATTTCTCAGTCAGATCCTGGCAATATTCTATCTGCAGTATCTTTTGAATCTGCCCCCTCCTCCTCAACCCCACAGTTACAGATCTGGGTCTCACCCTCCTATTTCTTGCTTGTATTGTTGAAATAACCTTGGCACATCTCCTCTAAGCCACTCACACTTCCTTCAACCCTTCTACAGGGAGAGGTCAGAGTTGAAGCACAAAGCTGATCCTGTCCTCCCTAAAATCATTCAATGGCTCCCCATTGACTACCCACAAGCTAAAGTCCAAGATTTTAACAGCCCTCTGTGTTTCAGTCTGCTTTGCTACCATTTTTTTCTCTGATGAGCTTCTCCTAGCTCTTTCCACCTCCCCAGCCTGCTTTTTCTATTATAACCTGAGTTCCTTGAGAGCAAGAACTAGATCTAAATCATCTCTGCATCCCCAGTTTAAATATAAAGCACCACATAGAGTGGACACTCAATACATGTTGGTTAAAGGAATAGATTTATTGTAAGGAAATCATTCACCTGAAGGAAAAAACTGTATGAAAGAAGTTGTTCACTGTAGCAACATTTATAAGAAGGAAAAAGTACAGAAAACCGAATGCTGACAATAGAGAACTTTTATTAATTACGGGACATCCACTTAATGAAGTATGATGCAGCTGTTAAAATAGTAATTATGAAGATTATTTAGCAACCTGGAAAGTGTTTCTAATATAATAAAAGGAGAATACAAATGGTCTGTATGCTAGGACTAAAATTGTGTAAAAGTATGCATGCACACAAACAGATCAGAATGAGAACAGGAACAGGAACAAATGAATACAGATGATGTGTTTAGGGTGTTTGGGTAGGCACTGTTTGTAATTTACTTAGCTTTTTCCAAATTTCCTTTATTGCTGTTAGAATGTCATTTGTGCACAAATACAAACTGAGAGAGAAAAAGCATACTGAAAAAGGTGCTTGGATTCCCTCAAGTCCTTTGACAAACTAACACTGACTTGGGAAGCAAGAGACCAGTGCTTCACCCTCACCCTAACTGGCTGTGTGATCCTGATTAAGGGAGATCTGTAGCTCTAACCAGCCATTTCTCCCATCCTGTCTGGAGAGGAAATCCCATGATGATCACTCACTCCCAAATCAACTCCTCCATTATTTTCTCCTAGCTGCACCACCATCTTCCCAGTGCCCCCAGACTGAAAACCTCAGAATCAACCTTACATTGTTTCATCACTTTCGCTTTCTCTCTAATCCCCACCAGCAATTATCCTTTTCCATAGTCATTTATGTCTTTTATTATGGATCATACCCCAGTTTTAGACTAAGAGGAGTTCCTGCCCTCCTAGTTACTACTGTCTGATTGAGAAGAGCTAACCCTTTTTTCCTCTCTTGCTCCTCTGCAGACTGCTGAGGAGTGAAGTGGAGAGTAGAGATAGAAACTTGTAAAATGGAACCTCATGTATTAGGAGCTGGATCTCACGGTGGGAAGAATTCAGGCACAGGCTGGATGCTCAGGGATAGCATAGTAGGACTTGGCACAACAAGTGGGATGCTGACTCAACTTATTCATTCAACAAGTATTTACCAAGTGCCAGACACGGTGCCAGTTTCTCTGTTAGGTGGCAAAGGGCCTGCCCAGATTCATTAGGGAAGGCTCTGTCCTAGAGATGCTCTGTTTACTGGAGGACACACAAGTAAATTAGTCATTGTTACCCAATACATTAAGTGTTGTCACCAAGGGCAGCACCTGTGGCTCAAAGGAGTAGGGCACTGGCCCCATATGCTGGAGGTGGTGGGTTCAAAACCCAGCCCCGGCCAAAAACTGCAAAAAAAAAAAAATGTTGTCACCAAGTTTGAACCAAGGGTTCTGGGGCAGTAAGAATGACAGATTTACCCTGCCTGAGGAGACCAGGAGCTCCCCTTTGAACCAGAGGGGATTCAGCTGCGGAATGGGACTAGGTGTGGTCCAGGAAGGGAGTTGAACTGTTCCTGGCAGCTTCAAGCCCAGGAATCATCAAGTCCACAGGCAATCTTGAAAGAGCTCTCTCAAGAGCAAAACAGCATGGAGTGACTGGAGCTTTGAAGCTTGGGATTAGGGGAGGGAGCAGTGGAGCCAGGCAAAACTCGGACCTGCTTCATCAGGGAAGGAAATGGAGGGTCAAGGATAGTTTAGAAACAGAGGAATAACAGGATCAGATCTATATTTCAGTTAGAGAACCAAATGATCACTTATATCCCCTCTTTTCCCCAAGACATGCCAAATGCATTGTACAGGGAGCGAGGGAGAAGGATGTCAGGGTTCAAGCAGAGATTCCACCTTCCACACGCTACAGCCCATTCCCTCCGTAGTCTGCAGAGAAGCCAAGAGGGGAAAAAAAAAACTATTGTGGCTCATCCGAACAATTGGTACGGACTGGCTGGCTGGCTCAAAGGAAGCCAAAAGAAGGGACAAAATGTTTAACAAATAATATTAAATATTTTTTTTTTGCAATTTTGACTGGGGCTGGGTTTGAACCCGCCACCTCTAGCATATGGGGCCGCCGCCCTACTCCTTTGAGCCACAGGCACTGCCCCCAATATTAAATATTGATTAAAATATATTCTACTTATTATATAATCATCTGTACATGGAACTTAGTCTCACTTTAAACTCTCTTTGAAGACAAAGATCTTGTTTAATTCATTTTTTTATTACCAGTATCTAGCACAGAGACGCTCGGCGAGCATGGGAGGAGGAAGCGTGGAAAAGGGGGAGGAAGAAATTGCCCTTAGGAGACGCTCTCTTTTGGCGGCGGTTAGTCAGGCCTGAACATCCGACCTCCCACCGGCAGGGGGAAACATAGAGTTCCCACGCGCCCGGAAAGGGCTACTCTGGGCGGAGCGTTTGAGTGTGCGGCGCGCGCAGTTTCTGACGCTAATTTCCTCGCGCACCGGAAGACAGTGATCCCTTTCCGTGCCTAGCGCAGCCATGGTAAGGCAGGGTCTTTGCGAGCTCTTGGGATGTATCCGCCTCCATCCTCCTAGAGCTGGGGCCACCCCGGGCGTTGGAGCTCCCGGGGAGGATGACCGGGCAGAGGCGAAGGGAGTGCAGCTTCCGTGGTTAACCAAGGCGGGCTTCGGGGCGAGAGGCGAACGCCGACCTGGTGGGGGAGCAGACCTAGTTCCGTTGGCGGGAAGGCCTTAATCTTTAACGCGGCCACGCATCTTTTGACCCCGGCAGAGGTGGCTTTTCTCCCCCCTCCGGGCCAGGGGCGGGTGACGTTGGGTCAGCTTGGCGGAGAAAGGTTTTCTTTGTCATTGTCTTTTTGGCACGGCCAGATTTTAGACAGGCTTCCGCTTTTTAAAGTGAAAATTGAGGGCTTGGCACCCGTAACTTACTGGTTAGCGCCGGTTACGTATACCGAGGCTGATGGGTTTGAACTCGGTCCGGGCCTGCTAAAACAATTAACAATGACAGCTACAACAAAGAAATAGCCGGCCGTTGTGGCAATCTCCTGTAGTCCCAGCTACTTGGGAGGCTAAGGCAAGAGAATTGCTTACACCCAAGAATTTGAGGTTGTGAGTTGTGATGCCACAGCACTCTACCAAGGGCAACAGAATAAGACTGTCTTCAAATAAAACCGTGAAAGTTGGGCTGGGCACAGTTTCTCACACCTGTAATCCTAGCACTCTGGGAGGCCTAGGCGGGTGGATCGCTTGAGCTCAGGAGTTGGCTATAAGCCTGAGCCAGAGCGAGACCCCCGCCTCTAAAAATAGCCGGGCGTTGTGGCAGGCACCTGTAGTCCCACCTACTTTGGAGGCTAAGGCAAGAGTGTCGCTTGATCCCAAGAATTTGAGCTTGCTGTGATGTCATAGCACTCTAAAGTGAAAATTGGTATCAGCTTTTGGCTTTAGCGTATGGGGTAGCAGCACACGAGATTGTGCAGAGGTCAGACACCTGCAATCCCGATGGTTGTGCTTAGAATACTTTACTATTAACAAGTAGAAGCATGCAGGAGCTTCTGGGCTACTTCTGTTACATGTCCACCTGGCCATTTCACTGGTATAGTATGGTAGAAGGAACAACCTCTGTCAGTAGAGACCCTTTTAATAACAGGAAAATTTAGTATGGTTTTGAGAGACGATGATACTAAACCTCTTTACAATGAGAAGGCTTGTTGAAGTTCTATGGAACCACGTATGCATTTGCTTCTCTGCCTTTTGTCAGAGCTCTGTGTTTTTAACATTGTCTACATTTAATGAAGAGCTTTATAAGAAGCTACAAACTAGGCTTTGTAAGCTGTTCTTGAGGAAACAAGAAGTCATTTAACAGTGTTGCAATCTAAAACTTCCTCTTAGGCTCGTGGTCCCAAGAAGCATCTGAAGCGGGTAGCAGCTCCAAAGCATTGGATGCTGGATAAATTGACCGGCGTGTTTGTAAGTATCTTAAGGGACACGTTTGAAATTAGTTTATGTGTTAGGCATCCCTGATTACTGTATTATTCTTTCTTGTGATGTCTATTAAATGCCTCCCAAACTCATGTGGGGGCAGGGCAAGGGATTTTCCCTGGTCTTGAAGAGCATGTGTTATCTGGCATTTATTCAGCATACCACCACATAGTACCCTTATGTGGATTAAGGACTCAAAAGTTAGTTCTTGATTCATTGATAGGGGAAATGCTGTAGAACTTTGAAATCTAAAAAAAGTTTTATCAGCTTCCTATACCTCATATGTAAATAACCTGGGTCAGGGTGTGATGGACCATCTTGGTGTCTTTAGTTAATGGATGGGTCTCAGGACTGTCAGATGGGTTTAAGTGAATCCCAACACTGGGTACATGTGAAATTTACTAAATGTAGAATATAAATGTCTTAACACAATAAGAAAATGCCATGAAGGCTGTGTTAATCAATTTGATGAAAATATTACAAATCTATATAAAACCAGCACATTGTACCCCATGATTGCATTAATGTATATAGCTATGATTTAATTAAAAGATTTATTTTTAATTTTGCAGGCTCCTCGTCCATCCACTGGTCCCCACAAGCTGAGAGAGTGTCTTCCACTCATCATTTTCCTAAGGAACAGGCTTAAGTATGCCCTGACAGGAGATGAAGTAAAGAAGATTTGTATGCAGCGCTTCATTAAGATTGATGGCAAGGTCAGAACTGATATAACCTATCCTGCTGGTTTTATGG